TGTATATATACTGAGATGAGTGCAGCAGGTGTGGAAGAAAGCACAGGTAACATTACTGAGGGCTGAAATCAAACTGGAAATCAGCTGAACTGAAACACCACATCGATCCAAACTATCACTGTCATAAAAAAAACGAACCACAATTAGCTCGACACTGAGAAGTTACAGTCAAACTGGCAGAACAGCATTACTCTGATCATCTACAGGAAATCATTTAGAGTCCGTTTCTGTCGAGTCGGTGCTGCAGACACCTCTGAGCTTTCACTCCACTTTGTGGACACAGTTCACAGTCACCGTCCGTGGAAGCTCCGTCTGTCGATCTAGTGTATACACTCAGGGATGAAGCTTGAGTTATTGATTTGTCTCTTTAGTCTCTCGCGGTTTATTAAGAAGACAAATGACAGGCTGTGGTTGGTGTGCCTGTGTAACACAGACCTGTTCTCACCACTGCATGAACCACAAAGAACTCAGGTGTTGGTGTTTGAAACAAATAAAACAAAACATTAAAAAGCAACAGAGATTAAAGAGAGACTCGGGTCACAGGAATAACTCATCACAGCAGTTTCTCAGTTTCTGACTTTTATTATAAAAAGTTTGTCTGAACAGTAAATCAGAATAAAACTTGTAGATGTACTTACGAGGTAGTGAGCCGGCCATGTTGGTGCTGCTCAGGGTTAAAGCTGTGTCACAGTCACATGCCTGCTGCCGAAATGTTTTGCATCAGCTGGTTGTTGTACCGTGACGATTGTCCCTCCCTTTAAATGCAAGGTGCCAGACCTGTCCTACACACAGGAACAACACTCGGGCTGTGGCACCAAACACAGGGAAACAGCCATCAGTGGCTCTTTATGGGAATTATGAGAATAAATATATGTGCAAATATAAGAATGTATGTGCGTCACTATATATATACTATATATGTCATGGCCTCCGCTGGCAGACCGTGGGGAGGTGGGGAAACAGGACCCAGACGCTGGACTCTTCAGTGCAGACAGTGTTTATTTACAAGGTGGTGAAGCGAGCAACAATAAATCCCCCTGTGTCCCAGACTGCCGTTCCCGTCTTCATCCAGTGTCAGTGCTCTGTGTCTCCACTCCTTAGTGTGGTCCGTGGTTGCTGCCCTCTCGTTCTCCTGGGAAACTAACAGAAGCAGCCGTGAATACACCACTCAGTAACAAAACTCTAATTCACTGACTTCTAACTGGGAAACTAACGGAAGTCTCACGAATCGATCTAGCGTCAGAAAGAGCTGCACCACACTCCTAAGTAGCTCCTCCGACGAGGCTTGATCAGCTGCAGGTGTGTGCATCTTCCTCAGGTGTAGCCAGCCACCTGGCAGACCCACCAGGCCTGATGGTGCCTGTAAACCATCCTACCAGAAACACCCAGACCCATACATGGACCCATACACATACCTGCAAGCAGGGAAACCAGGGACAGCCACACAATACATCAAATGTACATATAACAAGTAATATAAATCCAAAACTGCTTATGGGCCCTGGGTGCCTCAGACCCCGGTCTCTGACAATATAAGACAGACGAGTCAATACTTCTGCCAACAGTGTATTTTGAGGTTAAAATGTTGCCTCTCTATAAGTTAACAGAGTAAACAAACTTGAGCGGTCGATGGTACTGACTGACGTTCCATGGAAGGATCCAGTTATCAATCGTGATGATTGATAACAAGACTAAAAGTTTTTGGTTGATGGCAGTTCGGCTAAAATTTCCCCTAAAAGGAAACATTTGTGAGCCAGTTTCCAACCATGTGGCCTCCTCCCACGACTACAGGTTTATTTATGTGACCGAGCGTGGAGTGGTATACTAACCCACTGAGGAATCTGCCCTGTAGTCACTTTAACAAGTCATTAAGTGCTGATGTGACAGCTGGAGTGTTGTTCCTGTATGTGATATGGTGGCATTAAAGGGAGGGCCAATCTTCATGAACGCACAGAGCTGATGTCAATACGGTAGCTGTGACAGCTTTCACAATCCTGAGCAGCACCAGCATGGCCGGCTCAAAAGCTCGTAAGTACATCTACAAGTTTTATTCTGATTTACTGTTCAGACAAACGTTTTATAATAAAAGTCAGAAACTCCAGAGCTGCCTGTTTACCTGAGCTGTCAGTCGTTATTTCTGTGCCCTGTGTCTATATCTTATTTATCTGTTACTTTTTTAAATTTATGTTTATTTGAAACAACAAATCCTGAAACATGTTGTTCATGCAGTGGTAAGAACAGATTTGTTTTATGAATGTTTACAGCCACCAGAGCCTGCCAATCCACCCAGTCTTCACTTTGAATGGCATGGATGGATGGATGGATAGATAGATAGATAGATAGATAGATAGATAGATAGATAGATAGACAGACTTTATCAGTAAAACTGATTTCGGGGGATTTCGATGTGTGGAGTAATCCTGTTCTGCCAGTTTGGTTGCTGGTTCTCGTAAACTTCAGGGAATTTATGGTCAGCATTCTCGTCTCTGTTTTGATTGATGTGTGATTGTTTTGGATTGTTCAGATGTTTAGTCATGAGTCATTTCCTGTTTTATTTCAGTAATCAGTCCTTATGTAATGCTGTAAATTTTACTTCCCCCATTCCTGGGTTTTCCTTCCTTGGTACTTCATCATCACCTATCCCTGATTCTGTATATGTAACTGTCCTAGTGTGACGAGCTGGTTGAGGGAGTCCCACTAATAACAGCAGTAATCTGTTTATCTTCTTCAGCAGTTGAACATGTTCCACACCTGAGGATGGTGCTTGTTGGGAGAACAGGAGTTGGGAAGAGTGCATCAGGAAACACCATCTTAGGAAGAAAAGCTTTTGAATCTAAAGCTGCCTTTTCTTCAGTGACAGCAGGGTGTCAGAAAATCACAGATCAGGTAGACTGTCAGATCCTGGATGTTGTTGATACTCCAGGACTGTTTGACACTGATAGACCTGAAGACGAGCTGAAGAGAGAGGTTGCCAGATGCATCTCCTTTGCTGCTCCTGGTCCTCATGTGTTCCTGATCGTGATCCAGATTAGCAGATTCACCAAAGAAGAAC